AAATGTTTCTTTTCCTATTTAGCATTTAACTTACTTCTAATTTGGGTGGTTAGGATGTAGCATCTTTGACCTTTTATAGTTTCATTTTCCTTTGTGTGTAATATTATTTTATTGAAAAATGTATGATTGAAATTAAAAGAGAGAAAAAAATGTATTTTAGAAGAATGTGTACCAAACATGGTGTAATTTTAACTTTTGACCCCTTTTGTGTCTCCCACAACGTTCCTCACTTAGCCATGGGCTTCTTGAGTGCAAGCATTGGCTGCATTTGCAAGTTTTCATATTGCTATTGTATTTTATAGTATAATTATTTTTAGAGCATGTTTGATCTCCATTAATTTCAAAATACACTATAATTATTTTTAGAGCATGTTTGATCTCCACTAATTTCAAAATACACTATTCTCTTTTTTTCTTTTCAGTCATATATTTTTCAATAAAATAATATTACACGTAAATTCAAAAAATTTCCTCATTTTATAACCGCACATTCTCCAACAAATCATTATTCCAAAATGGAATGAGGCTCAAACATGTCATTAAACATTCCTAACTCTAATATTGAAACTTAGATGTTTTACGAGAAAAGTTAGTAGAGTATAACGTTGTTGTTTCAATTGTAAAAATAGTTATATATGTGTGTATATATATATATATAGATACACACACACACACACAATTATGGTCAAATAACTCCTAAGGCTTACGTTAAAGCATAATTTTGGACAATTATTTTATAATAATAGTGTTTGTTCATGATATTAGACACCGAACCTTATTTAAATGGACACACACACACACATTAGGAATATTAGTATTTGAGCCGTTTTGATAAGTATTGAAGTTAAATATTTTCACGGTCATGGTCAGTATGCATAAATTAGCATAACTTCGTCCAGCCGACTATACAAACTGTAAATCGGTCAATTTCTCTCTCTAAATGGAACGCCTCCTCCACTTCTTTCTACTCATTCTATAAATAATCAACAATACTCCTCAACCCACTCTTGAACTAAAACTCGTAACAACATGAAAGAAGGACAATTAGTTTTGTTCATCAGTCAGTTTTTAACCCAACAATTCCTCGCTCTAATAACCCATTTATCCCCTCAAATCTTCACATGTGATTATGGCCTCCTTCCCCACCACATAGTAACCCCAGGGGCGGAGCCAGGATTGTAATTCAGGGTGGGCACAAATTTATCGATGTTGAACGTCGAATTTTTTGTTATGAATTTAATGGTGATAAAATATAAAACAATATTACCCAAATTCATAGGTGCAATTCTATAATAATTCTATAAAGCACATTCAACAAAACACAAATTTCAACAATTCACAGGTGCAGTTCAACAAATTTCAACTATTCACATTTGACAAAACACAAATTTCAACAATTCGACAAATTTTTTGTTGTAATTCATAGGTGCAATTCTATGACAATTCACATAAAAGCACATTAGAGTCAATTTCAACAAAACACAAATTTCAACAATAAAGAGCTTCAACAAAACCCAAATTTCAACAATAAGAAATCCATATAAAGCTACAAGAGTTTGTTTAGGCACATTTGACTTTGCTGTCTGCAGAGGATGCTGCTAGAGCATATGATGAGGGCCATGAGG